ATATTAATCCATTTGCTTAGCTCCATAGGTGTGCTTATTGAATCTGGATGCACCTAAGTTGGGTGCATATATTTAAAATTGTTATCTCTTCTTGTTGAAGTGTGCCCTTCACCATTATAATGACCTCTGCTTCACTACTTTTGTTGGTTTAAAAACTAAATAATCTGAAATAGAACTGCCACACCAGCCTTCTTTTGGCTCTATTTGCTTGGAATTTGATCTCCACCTTTTATTTTTTAGTCTATATGCATCCTTGCAGGGTTAGATGTGTTTCCTGAAGACAGATAACTGGCCTGTATTTCTTTCCATTCAGCCAGCCTATGTCTTTTGATGTGGAGTTTAAGCCATTCACATTATTGAGAGAACCGATAGTAGGTAGATACTGGATCATTCTGGTGGTTGGATTGTTGCTATGATTTCTGTCTTGAGCCATTGTAATATCTGGCTTTAATATCTTTGGTTTGTGTTTTATATTCGTGGGTTATTATTATGATGTTCTGTGCGAACGCTGTTTTAAGTACTTCTTGTAGGGGGGTTCTTGTCTTGGTCAATTCCTGAGCCTTTGCTTTCTGAGAATGTTTTTATTTCCTTCATATACGAAGCTTGATTTGCAGGGAATAATATTCTAGGCTGGCTTGTTTTGTTTCAAAAGAGTGAGAATTGGGCCCCAGTTCTCCTTGCTTGTAAATCTCATTAGAGAAGTCTGATTTATTCGAATTGCTTTCCCTTGTATGTTACTTGCTTCTTTTGTCTTACAGCTCTTAGAAGGCCTCTTTAGTTGATACTTTGGTCAGTCTGATGACTGCATGTTGACTGTCTTCCTGTTTGATTGAATCTCCCGGGGGTCCTCTGAGCTTCTTGAACTTGTATATCGAATTTGAGCAAGGCTGGAAATTTCCTCTATTATATCTTCAAATAGCTTGTCCAACCGTTGATGTTGTCTTCTTCCCTTTCTGGTACCCCTATGACCCTCACAGTTAGTTCTTCACATAATCCCACAGCTCTTGTAGTTGCTTTTTCTCTGTTCTCTGCTCTATTTCTGTGACATTTATTTAATTGGGAGGGGTGTTATCTTCAAAGCTCTGGATTCTTTCTTCTGTTTGATCTACCTGTTCTTGACTTTCCACTGTTTTTGTAGTTCCTTGAATTGATTCTTCATTTCAGGATTCGGTTACACTTTTCTTATTGTGTCTATTCTTTTCCCATATCCTGGAGCTTTTTTGGTTTCTTGCGTTGGTTATTGAGTGTTGTGTAGCTGGGTGAGTGTTCTTATGATCACATACGAAATTCCTCTTCTGTCATATTGTTGCCTGATTTTGGTCGGTGTCCGTTCTAGGGGCTGGTGCTCCTCTTGGGTGTGTTCCATTTGGTCTTCATATTTCCTGAGTTCTTTCGCTGATTTCTTCCCATGTCGATCAGTTGTTTCTTCCTTAGTTATGTTGGGTATTCACACACCTGTTTAGTTTCTCAGCGTTAGGTGTGTCTGTGGGTGAAATTGACCACTCCCTATTATTGAGTCGTGTGGTGCCGTGGAAAGGCTGGTGCAAGATGCGTTCTGTCAGTAGGTGGCGTTTGCTAAAAAAAAAAAAAAAAGAAGTTCCAAAGAATTCAAAGACGTTTTTAGCAATGGCAGCATTCTTGAAATCAGTCAGTCTCTCAAGGTGACTTAAAAGGATAAAAAAATCATTTGGATGCGTAGGTTCAAGTGTAGGGGTAAGCAAACAGTAGCCCAGAGACCCAATCTGGCCCACCACCTGGTCTGTGTGACCTACATGCTAAGAATGGTTTTTACATTTCTGAATGGTTGAAAACAAAGCAAAAGAAAAGTAGTATTTTGTGACACATGAAATTCAAATTTTGGTGTCCATGGGTGAAGTTTTAGTAGAACACAGCCATGCTCGTTTACACATACTATCTCTGGCTGCTTTCACACTACAAGGGCAGAGTTGAGCAGCTGCAACAGAGACCACATGTCCCTCAAAGCCTACTACTTAGCCCGTTACAAAAAAGTTTACCAACCCATGTCAAATGTTTTATTAACAAATCATTCATGAGGTTAAAGTCATGCCTCACATTAAAAATGAGCTTTATTTCTCACATTTGTAAGAATAAATTTATATAAATACAGATAATTTCTTATTTTAAAATGTTTGCTATTTTAGGATCTACTAAAGCTATATACATTCATAAACTCTGACCCAGTGATTCACTCCTACGGATATACCCAACAGAAATACAAACACATGTTCAGCAAAAGGTCTTAGAATGTTTATAGCAGCAATCTTCATAATAACCCCAAACCAGAAGCCACTAAAACACCCATCGCAATAGAGTAAGTGAATAGATTGCAATATGTTCATATAATGCCAATACTACGAAACAACGAGAATGATCTATAATTATACACAACAACATGGATGCATCATACCAATGTACGAATGAGTGAAAGAAGCCAGACACAAACTACACACCATATAATTTCATGTCAATACAGTTTATAAACAGGCAAAACATTGGTCAGGATTACTGGCCATCCTTGATGGCAGTGACTGGAAGGGGACTCACAGTCACTGGGGTCTGGGATAGTAGGAAGGTTCTGTCTCTTGATCTGGGCACTGGGTACATGAGTATGCTCTTGAACACTTAAGGCATGTCCATTTTTCTCTATAAATTATACTTTAAAAAAAAGTCTTAAAATGTCTGCTAATTTCTCTGTACTTTCATCTTTCGATATCTGAAGTATATCTACTTAATTTCATATATGGCTAAACTTTGAATCTTAATTTAGCCTGGCAGACTACTGAAGCATGTGTCAGTATAAAAAGGTAGATCAACAGGAACATGTCCTAAAGCTAACATGTGCTTTAGGATCCTACAAAAGTTAAGAAGACCCTTCTTTGGTCACATTGGAGTTGCCACTGACCCAAGACAGGAATTCCCCCTACCAGAACCTGATCAATTAGACATTTAAAAACTACTTCAGTGCTAGTTCTGCCATAACACAGTTCTTTATTATACCTATCTAAAAGTTGAGTTCTAGCACAATGTAACACCAATCCCCAGACAGTCAAATACCTGCCACAGAAATCACTTTGGGAAGAGTTCTACATCCATGGCTGACTAAACATTCTAGTTTCTTGAACTTAAAGCTACATTTTCCCTCTACCCTGTTTAACAAGTTGTTCCCTGGACCAGTGGGTATCATTCCCTGAGGTACTTAAAGAAAAACTGATACCCAGGCACCACCCTGGATAAATTAAAGGATCAGTATTTATTCTAACATAATGATTTAAAAATCTGCATCTTTGAAACCACCTTCCCTCTCCCCAACTGGGTTGTAAATGTGTATCCAGGTTTGTGAACTCTGCCCTAGATATTTTTATTCTCTAAACCTGATCCACCTCTAAAATCAAAATCAGAAAAATAGTATTCCTTTTGCCTAACTTACAAACTCTACTAACCCTACTCAAGGTGTCACCCAGTCTTTCAACACCTTGGCAGCTTTAGCTCATATCACTAATATTTTCCAATAATTCCCACAGTTATGGAACCATGACCATAATTTCAGACTACTCTTGGTCCTTGACAGCCATCTAAATCTACTACTTTGGAAGAACAGTCTGATGAGAACTCTAATCTGATTTACACAGACAAGGCTCAAATCCTGACTCTGCCATTTACTAGCCATGTCAGCTTGGGCAAATTATGAGCCTCTTTGAGCCTCAGTCATCGTAACTGTAAAATGGAAACCATAACGATGCCTACACTTCACTGGGTTGCACAGTAACTGTAACATAGCTAGTATTCCATAGATGACAGCTCCTTACATCTCCTGCTGCAGTGACTTCTATGTGCCAGGTAGTGTACCAGATTTTGAATAGTATACATTGCTTTTAGAGCAGAAATTCTAAAATCTATCTATTCAGCAAAAACAAATTGAGATTTAAAAAAATAATTTATAAAGAATAAGATAATAAAAGCTAATGAACAGACTCAAAGTTACATATATTTCCCAAAATAATTGTATTTTACAATTAGAACTGGCTTATCGATCATTTTAAATTATCTTAACTCTATGTGGAACAGATACCAAAGGATTCCTCTTATTCAGCAAACATGTATTTTGGAACCTGTGAGCTAAAAGGACAGTTCACATTAACTTTTTGTTTGCACTATAAATCAATTCTATTTTAGAAGTTTCTTAGGAAAAATTAACATAAACAAGCCTACAAAAGGTTACTTTGAAACACATGTGTAACTTTCAGAGTCTTTTTCTAACCTACCCATTTAAAAAAAAAAAACAAGACTAAAGATTGAGACAGTATATAAAATAGAGTGATTCACTGTCTGACTGATGACTCCTTATACCAAATAAATGTGGCACATTATCTATTTTTATAAATAAAACATATGCTTACTTTGAGGTATCTTGATTTTATATATATGTAATTATTTCAAATTATTATTTTTTGCTCAATAAGTACAATTTTTTCTACTCTATAAGTCTTTATAAGAATTTTTAATTAGTTCATGCTTCACATATTTAATCTTATATCTATTCTAGGCAAGTGGATTACAACTGCCAAGAATCTATTAAATTTGTAACATTTTGCAGAAGTGTCTAACAATGCCATTAATATTTGATGAACTCAACTAAATCAGGTTTCTACTGGTGCTATTTTTTAAACTTATCCTTTTATAATTTCAAAAAAAGTATAAAGTATCTAAACATTTACTAGTTGATGGTTACCTACTTACCTCTGGATAACTGCTTCATGAATTCTACGATACATGTAGCATTCTGCAAACAACCATGGTGAGTAGAACCACCTTGGTTTTTCATCACTTTCATTTAAAAGAGTCTGATGAGATTCTAGGTACTGATTCCATATATCAGTATCAACAAATTTCTCAACCAAGGGAATAAATGGTTTATCTGTTTGCAATTCATTCCGTAACTTAGAAAGAAGAGAGATAGCTTTCTTTTCAGCTTCTGTGCCCTCCTGTGGAAATACAAGAACAATAAATTGTGTGTTTGTGTGTGTGCATGAATGTGTAATTCCTCTAGGAGAATATATTTTTATGGACCTAAACTTAAGAAGGACAGAAAAATATCCTATTTCTAAATGACATTTTATGTCTTTCACAAACTACTGTAAACATTAAATTTAGAATTCTTAAGTTGAAAATCAAAGAACATATACAGATTTCATATCAACATAATCATAACTTATCTACCTTGGGGTTTTTTTTGTTTTTTTTTTAAAGTTCTGGCCCCTCTGTATCTTTGGGTGGGATGACTATTACCACACACAGGAAGAGGACCAATCATGAGATCTTCCACATCTTTCATGCTTCCAAATGGTTATTCTGGTCTTCCTGAGGTTTCTTTTGGCAGCTCAAAGGATTTTTTTAATTACTTGTTTTCCACCAAGTTACAGATAGATACCCTGACACACAAGGTGCTACAGTATTATCTCAACATAACAGGCCAATTGGAGAGGAGACAAATGTTACGGGATCAGAATGCAGTGAAAATGAAACCTTTGGTTTTATACCAGCAAGATTCCCACCCATTTAAAAAAAAGATGCAAGCCTAACAAACATACAGAAAAAACTGTAGGAAATAAACATCAAACCCAATTGAATATTTTTATGAAATCATTATCACTATGTTGATATTAAGGGAAAATTTAGTCCCTAGTTTCAGGCCTATAATTGTCTAAATACAGACATCTCTCCAATCTTTTTTTTTTTTCCCAAGTACAATTTCTTTTGCCACTAGAATGAAAGGCTGAAGCTTTAGAGATTCTACAAGTTCAAAAATAGAAGAAAAGTTGTTAAAAATACAAATTTTAGGAGCTGAGCCCCAGATTCCCCACATTCTTGAGAGGCTCTCTCCTTCTAAATCTCTACCCTAAATTCTTCAACTTCAACTAATTATTTAAGCATAAATTCCAACAACTAAGATTTTTACAGGTTTTGAGCACCCTCTTTTACACAGGCAAATACCTAGAAGACATAATGGACTAATATTTGTGTTAATGCCAGTTTGTTAACTTGCTTCAATTCTATGTGTCAGTCACTAAATTCAGGGCCAAAGAAAGATGAATAAAGCCCGGACCCCTGTCTCTCAGGGACGCATGTCTGGCAAACCAGGTAGTCTAAGGGGATAGACATTTGGCCACTAAGACAGGAGGGCAGAAAACTGTGTAGCATGGCTCCTTTGGGGAAAAGCCTGGTTCTGGTGTAACTGGAGGCTTATGGAGCTAGGAGAACATGTGGGGCCTAGGGAGAGTGGCCATAGGTATGAGAGATGCATGCAAAAGGAGACTGAAAGGCTACCAAAAACAGACTGATGTCAACCTTTTATTTAGGTCTTGTCCCATCCCCAGGAGAGTGTGAAATGGGTTAGAGCTGGAGGGACAATAGGCCCTGCTTTCTCACTCTCAGCTAGCATGGTCACCTGATGATTATGGGCATACAGGCCAAGCTGTAATATACCGCAACTTAATTACTGCATTTTAGATCACTGCAGTTGAAAAAACTGAAACTACAAGTTCAACTATTATGGGGACCTGCTTAAGTATATGACAAAATACTCAAGTGAACAACCCAAACTTGGCTAAATTATACTTGTGTACTAAATGTGTGCATATTTCAAAACAAAACCATGTTTTTGTGATAACATTAAAACCATTCATCAACAGAAATGTCAGTGCCTTAGAGAGTGGCATGTTGGGCTTCAGAGGGGGTTATCACTGTACTGTCAGCAACCAAAGAGAGAATTAAACATGGGTGATATAAAGAAAGGCAAGAGAATTAAACACGGGTGATATGGAGAAAGGCATTTTTTGTTCCGAAGTGTGCCCAGGGTCACACCCTGGAAAAGGGAGGCAAGTACAAGACTGGGCCAAATCTCCATGGCTTCTATGGGTGGAAGACAGATCAGCCTGCTGGATTCTCTTAACCAGACACCAATCATAACAAAGGCATCACCTGAGGACAGGATACACTGATGGAGTTTTGAGAGAATCCCAAGAAGTACATCCCTGGAATGAAAATGATCTTCACCAGCATTAAGGAGTAGGCAGAAAGGGCAGACTTGATAGCTTATCTCAAAAAAGCTACTCATGAGTAATAATTGGTCACTGCCTTATTTATTATAAAACAGAAATGTCTCATGACTTTTTTATGTGTACCACAATTTAATTGGTCTCATACACCAGAATTCAGATCATGAATGAATATCAGAATATTTTTGTTGGACAGTTCTCATTTAACTAAGGCTGGCTTATAGTTAAATGAATATGATCAGGTTTTTGAATTTTGATAATAATTCCAATTCAGTAAGTGCTATCACTGTTTTCTCCTTCTAAAGATACGATTGGACTTAATTAGTAATGTTCAACTTTTCACAAAGATGGTAAATTACCATCTCAAAACCTATCAAAGATTGGTTTTATATTTAGATTTATATAACTGGTTGTGAGAATATATTTAAATACTAGGGAAACCCCTTCACTGTATTAGAACCAAGCAAGGCTCACTAATGTTTTAATTTGTGTTCATTAACCTGTTAAAGGCAAGGGCTGGAGATAAAGGTATCAATGTTTACTTTATAATTTTGGTCTTTACTATGCCAATCTAATTCCCTATGTCTATTAAAATGCTGCCTTTTATTTACTGAATGGCATTTTAGTGTGGTTTATGTGTAATATCAAATAAAGATTATTTAACACTTAAAAAAAAAGTCAGTGTTCAAGATAAGCTAGATCTCAGCAAAAGAACAGGTGATTCCTGTATTGTGCCACGATTAGTTTCAAAGAAGACAATATAAAAGAAGTTGAAAGAAACACAATATTATGCTCAAATTGTCTACATGCTGCCTTGTCCCATCTCAATTTGGCCAGGAAGAAAAAACCATTTCTCTGTATCTTTGTTGTTAACTCTTTAAATAAAAATGTACTGGTATATGCATGGTCTTTTACAGTCTACTGAGTAATAGACTGCTGAACTTGCAAGTTTAAAGAGCTAAACCTACAAAATATAATTATATATAGTTATTTGGATTTTTCATCTAGTAACTGAATGGACAAGGTGATTTCTAAAGTACCATCCCATGGGAGGCTGAGGCAGGAGGATCACTTGAACCCAGGAGTTCACAGTGGCAGTGAGCTATGATCATGCTGCTGCACTCCAGCCTGGGTGACAGAGCAAGACCCCTTCTCTAAATAAAATAAAATAAAGTCCACCCTGCTCTAAATATTAATGAGTCTTTCTCATCTTTAATTAGTATAGCGTGTCACTCAATCATATCACTCTTTACCTTGAGTTTGGAATAGCACCCGTAGCTTTCAGGACTCAAGATTTCAAATTATTAACATAAATACTGCAATTCAGCTAAATTTAAATTTAAAAAGCTTTCCTGAGCAAGTCAACAACCTAGTCACCATTTATAACATTGTATGTATTAGAAAATATGTTCTTAAGTCTAAATAACTGACAGAATTGTTGGAACACAATTTTTTTCTAAATGGGATTGGCTGTTCTAACCTTGACTACCACATGATTATACTTCATTTCAACCTATTACATTACAGCCAGATAAATAATTGGCCCATGTATTCACTTTTACACTTTATAGGAAAACTGATAACTTCAATAACTACTTACTGTGTTTCTGTTAAAGAATTTTAAAAAATTAAAGTAAAAACATAATTCTTACCTCTCCATGTTTCTCAAAAAATTCACTTTTATGTCGATGCAATGTATCAATAGCCTTAGTTAAGATCTGTGGTAGTCTGTCTTTAATTGTAAAATATGTAAATGATCTAGAAAAAAAGAGTCACATACAATATATTACTAAGGAGCATCAATACTGTAATGCAGTGGTCCCCAACCAATACTGGTCTATGGCCTGTTAGGAACCAGACAGAGTCACCACCTGAGCTCAGCCAACCTTTCACCCCACCCTTTCCCTCTCCTCCATACCTTTCTTTGTCCTCCCTCCTACCCTCCCTTTCCATGGAAAAATTGTCTTCCATGAAACTTAGGAACCGGGTCTTCCATTAAACTGGTCCCTGGTACCAAAAAGGTTAGGGACCACTGCTATAAAGGCTATCTTAGTTTCTGGAATACCCCATTTAAATTAAAATTCCTTCTTATGTAGCTATTAAAAAGGTAAAACAGTATTGTGTGACTACTATATCAAAACAAAGGAAAATCTAAAAATTTCTCTGGTATGTCATGGAAGCTAATAGTCCTGGTGCCCCTAATCCCAGATTCTCCTCTAGACTCTAATTAGTCTTATCTTTCTTATTCTATTCCTTTTATTTTCCTAAATCAGTAAGTAGATTAACAATATGATAGGAGAGAAAAAGGATTAGCCTAAAAATCAAACAGCCTCTTGTCTAAGGTCTATTACTTACTAAGTGACTTCACCTGCTTAGAAAGATGAATGAAGCAATGCATGTAAAACAGCCTTAAAGACACTAATGTGTTTGAAGAACAAAGAAAGCTATTTGTGAACCTGTTTCTCTTCTCTGTCTCAATCTATATTCTAAGCCAATTTTAAATCTTTTCAAAGGTTTTCTTGGCTGTCTTCTCTGCCTGTACTCTATTGCACTCTGCTTCCATTCTATTCTGCCCCTAAACAAATTAAGGCATGCTACTCTCACTCACCCAGCCAAAAAATTAGAAATTTTACAGAAGTGTCAAAGAATGAAGAAAGACAGAGATGAGAAAAAACTTATACTTGCATTAAAAAAATTAAAAATATTCTTGATTTTATATAAAAATCAAGATTAACAGATTATCGTCTTATATAATTGTTTTCTTACGAAATACATATAATTCAGTTAGAAAAAACAGGCTACTGGATGGCGAAATTCTGGGCAGTTTTCTTTTTTTTTTTTTTTGAGACAAGAGTCTCACTTTGTTGCCCAGGCTAGAGTGAGTGCCATGGTGTCAGCCTAGCTCACAGCAACCTCAAATTCCTGGGCTCAAGCGATCCTACTGCCTCAGCCTCCCAAGTAGCTGGGACTACAAGCATGCACCACCATGCCCGGCTAACTTTTTCTATATATATTAGTTGGCCAATTAATTTCTTTCTATTTATAGTAGAGACGGTCTCGCTCTTCCTCAGGCTGGTTTTGAACTCCTGACCTCGAGAAATCCGCCTGCCTCGGCCTCCCAGAGTGCTAGGATTACAGGCGTGAGCCACCACGCCCGGCCTCTGGGCAGTTTTAAACGTAGAGCACGGAACTTTGCGGATCGGTGTCTGTATCTTCAGGTCACAAAAGACAATTTTTAAATTATCCAGTTGTACCTCGAGTACTTACGTCTTTAAATTATTTCCTCAAACGATAGCTACTGAATTTTAAAGAAAATATTGCATACGCGTTTCTGGCTCCGTGGTGCTTTGAGTATCCTAAAATAGTGATTAGGTTTAATGTGCACAGTAACTACTCCGATTAGAATTGATTTTTTAAAGTCACTAATACCTTGGAAGGACAGAAGGAACATTAAATCAATTGACATTTGAATTTTCCAAAGCAGCAGAAACGATAAGTGACAGTCCTTTGAGATTTTGCTTTAATTATAAAGTATTACCATTTCTCTTATCACAACATTTTCAAGGACTTATTTCGAATATAAACATCCAATTTATGCAAATGAATGTAATTTTTATGGTCGCCCACAACTTTGCCCACAATATGTAAGGTGACGACTAAAAAAAGCAAAATGTTACAGACAAGTTTTATTGTGAGACGATGACTGACCGGCAACAGGAAGAAACACATTTTCAATAGACCTAAGATTCCCAACTTTTAAGGAGAATTTTAACTCCCCTGAAAGCCCCTTGGTTAAAGTAAATAAATAAAAAGTGACCGCGAGGAAAAGACTGCAAAGCTGATCCAAGTCTTGACCCCTGCGAGCCGCCGCGGCGGGCGGACTCCCTCCGCTGAGGCCGCCTCGCCTTCGCCTCCAAGCCGGCCATCGAAAGCCGAAAAGGCGCCCCTGGGAAGCCGACCCCGACCGCGGGACTCGAACAGCCCACGCGGAAGCAGGCGCCCTCCGCTTGTCACCCACACGTTCCCGGCGAGGCCCGGCTTCCCGCAGAAGTGAAGAGGAGAAAGGCGAGACAAACCCTACGTCCTGTCCCGAGAGAGACGCCGGAGGCTTAGCCATTACGTTCTGCGATGGCGGCTCCAACCCTCGGGTCGCACCGGCCGCAGAAACAGAGACGGTTCCGCTGAGGAGGAACTGAGAAAGGGAGCGATGTGGCTTTAAATTAAAAAAAAGCTTTTGAATGAGGAAACTTTATTTGGCGCCCGTACAAGTGGCAAGCAAAGGCTGGCACTAGCACGCGCTCATCCGGGGACGAAGGCGGGGCCAGTACAGGGCGACGAGAGGAGCGGGATTAGGAAGCGAGCGGAAGACGGAAGCAGGCAGGGACCGGGAGGTCCCAGCGACTAGAGAGCGGAAGAGGTCGCGGCGGTGCGGATCACGTGTTCGGACAGTCACGTGGCCTGCGCAACTTGCGCTCTGCCCCTGGAGTTCCGTGCGCCTGCGCACTGTCAGGCGCTGGGAAGGAGCGCCCTTCCAGGAGAAAGGTTGGCTGCAGGAGCAGGGGGTTGGTGCTGACATTGTCTCTTTCCCTGCAGTCCTGCCGGGAAGCCAGTGCTTCCTTCTTCTCTTCCGGCGGAGAGGTTAGTGCACTGCCTTTCCTTAGACGCTTGCATGGTCCGGCACTGAGGTCTCCGGCCGCGCGAACCCTCTCGTTTACACCAGTACCGCTATGACCTCCTGCCCTCTTGCAGTGATTTTGGCCGTCTTAGCAGCGAGTAGAAAGCACTCAGTCAATAAACACTTGATGGAATCTTTATTGAGCCAGTGCAGACTGATAACTGCAAAGTTCAATAAAATAATTTGAGGTTAAGGAATTGGAACGCATACTCCCAAAGATTATCACTACTTGTCCACTGAATCTTAGCCTACCTGTAACTATTTTCTTAATTGGTATCATTGTTTTGTAAATGTTGAAATGTGCCCAGGAACTGAATAACCGACTAAAATACAACTGTATTTTATTTTTAAAAATTTAATTGCCTACTATGTGTTAGGTACTATTGTTACAGGAGATTGAACGTGAGCAAAACTCAAAAATCGCTATCCTCAAAGAGCTTACAAAACTCCATCCTTTTCTATCTTTTTTCCTTTAGCATCATCACTAACGTACATTTTATTGATTTACCATGTTTATTATTTGTCACAGCCAACGTAAAGTAAGTTTGAAAGGATAAGGATTTTTGTCTATTTTATTGTCTGCTGTATCGGCAACCAGGACAATGCCTGGCACATGATAAGAACTCAGTTCATGTTGTGTGAGTTAGTGCAGTATGCAAGCGATGTTAAATACAATGGCAAAATGTAAAGTGAAGTAAGATAGAGGATGGGTGCTGGTTGTGCCTTTTTTTTCCTTTTTTTAAAATTTTTTTCCTAGACACAAGATCTCACTCTGTTACCTCGGCTGGAGTACAGTGGCATGATTGTAGCTCGCTGTAACCTCCAACTCCTGAGCTCAAGGGATCCTCCTGCTTCGGCCTCCCAAGTAGCTGAGACAACAGGCATACACCACCATGCCTGGCTAACTTTTTAAAATTTTTTGTAGAGACCACTGTCTCTATATTGACCAGGCCATTATTGAGAATGAGAAAGGAGAAGGAGGCTTGATGTTTTGAGGAGAGAGTAGAGTAGGATACAGTGGGGAAATGTAGTGAGATTGTTGAGCAGCATGAAAGGCCTGCCTGAAGTAAGGGGTCATGATTTTTGAGTGAGCTCAGACAGCTTGATTGTCTCCAGCCAAGTTCTGCTGCAGGAATGCTGGCACAACTTAGGTGAATTATATTTAATTAGGGTTGAGATTATGTCACCTGGGTTTGTGGAAGAGTGAGGGATGCATGAAATTTGAGGATTTGAGTATGGGAGAGATTATAATGGTAGACCATGGACTATAAACTGGATATGGAGGAACTGAAGTCATGGGGAGTGAGACCCAATGAAAAGGTGGTTGGGGCATTGAATTGTAGGACCTGTTGTGGTTGAAGAATTGTTGGATTGGATAAAAGAAGCAGTGAGCTGGAAAGATAGGTGGTGGTTGGGTGAGTAGAATGCATGAAATTGAGAATGTGAGGTTGCACTTAATGATAATGACAAGGTGGGTGCTATCCAATAGAAATACAGTGCAAGCCACAAATGTAATCTTAGGCTTTCTAGAAGCTACATTGATAAATGTAAAAGTAAGTGAAATTCGTTTTAGTGATTGTATTTAGCCCAATATATCCAAAAATATTTCAACAAATAATCAATATAAAAATTATTGAGGTAGTTTACATTTTTAAAAAAAATCAAGTTTCAAGTTATACTAGTCACATTTCTAGTGTTCAGTAGCAACATGTGTCACCCAGTGGCTACTATATGGGTCAGAGCATATGACCATAGGAGTGAGTAGCAGCTGAGGGACAGTGGATAACAAAATGACTCAGGAAAGGTGGTCAGGGAACTCAGAGGTCAGAGAATTGGAAGAATCATCCCCACCACTGATCTACTTGGATATAAAAACCATCAAGAGTTAGGCCAGAGTATGGTGGCTCACACCCGTAATCCTAGCATTTTGAGAGGACAAGGCAGGAGGATCACTTGAGCCCAGGAGTTGGAGGCTGCAGTGAGTTATGATCATGCCACTATACTCCAGCCTGGGCAACAGAGAGAGACCCCATCTTAAAAAAAATACATTTGACCCTGTGACATTCATATTTTAAAGCTCTGGCTTCCCCCTTCCTGTAAAGATTCTTTAGGATGACTTAATGAATCTTTTCATGATCTGGTTGCTGGCTCCTTTTCAGTCCTTATCTCCTGCCATTCCCTCCTGCCTCCCCTGAGGTTGCACTCTGTCAGATAAGTAAGACTGTGTTCCTTGGGGTGTTTGATTTGCTGACACCTTTGCCCTTTCAAGTCCCAGTTCAAAGTCACCTCTGTGACTCGCCTTTCACCCAACATACTCCCTTCTCTGGACCTCATAGCCATTTGTATGTCATGTGATTCTATTTCCTCTACTAGACTGTGAATTCTGAGATCGTACTTGTATCTCTAGCACCTAACATGTTATTTTTTTAAAGAATTATTATTGTTTACCTACTGTGGGCTTACTTTTAGAGAACATTTTATACTGTAAATAAGGGGGGAAATTATTTACATATACAATCTGTTTCCTTTGTCTCGAGTGTGTGTGTAGCTGACATGCCTATGCCCACTCCCAGCCCCAATCTGAAAAGCACCTTCTCCTTCAAGAAGCAGCTTATATCTTCTGGGAGCCTTTCCTGCCTCTTCCTGTAGAATTAGGTGAGCTCTTTGTGTGTTTCCTCAGCATCTCATGCCATAGCTCAATAGTAAGGTCTGTTCCACTGGTTTATAATGAGTAGTTGAAAATGCCTGTCTCCTCCAGGCGACCTAAGCACCATGATGGCAGATGTCCTGTGCTCCCATGGATGCATCCCTGGCCTCAGTTCATGTCTTGTTTTATGGTAAAGGCTGAATAAATATTGAATAAAGGAAATTGCAAGCACAGATTTTTTTTAAAATTGACATGCTAATGAAATAAGAGATCCTATCACTCTGTTTTTTTTTCCTAAGGTCCTTTTCATGTCACTAGCCTTATAATCTTGTAATGTTCCAGAAAGAAGGCCAAACATTGACTCAAGGAAAAGAGGCAGAAACACTGTATTTATTTTTTTAACCTTGTTCTTTTACTAGAATTAAGATGTATCTGTTTTGGAAATTTTTTTAAAGAAATATGCATATTGCCTAGGGAAATATTATATATATATATTTTAAACATTAAAAAAAAAACAAAAAAACTTTGAATTCTTTTTCTTTTAGTTTGAGATGTGATAATGCCAGCCAGACTTCTCAGAGCCCTGGTCGGATCTCACCGTATATTGTCGAAAGCCCATCAGTGCCAAAGACTTGTTCATCTAACATTAGAACCGCTTAAGGAATTTGAAAATGCAACGTGTAGCACGCTGACAATGCATCAAAACTTGGATTTGTTCTTTCCTGATATTGCAGCTGGTGGTTTGAATACGTCTCAGATCCTGGAAACAAACCAGAAAATATCAAATACAAGCACACTCTCTCCATTAAATGCTACACATTGCCAGGATGAAAAAGTGCACTCTCCAACCGTGAAATCATTTGGTACTCACAGGAAAGTGACCCACAAACCAAATCCACTGGGTCTTAAATGGTTTATAAAAATATTAAAGAGGCATCATTCATCTATATCAACTGAAACATTTGTTCCGAAACAAGACTTTCCGCAGATCAAGAGACCACTAAAAGCATCCAGGACCAGGCAGCCATCCAGGACCAACCTTCCAGTTCTGTCTGTGCATGAGGTAAAATCAGTGTGGTTATTGCCCTTGTGTTTAGCAATCACCACTCACTTTCTAAACTAGTGTGCATTGCACCATAGCCTTACTGCTCACGTAAGAGAATGGCAGCCAACCTAGACTTTTTTCATCAAGATCTTTGAACCCTAGTTGTTCCGAGTGCAGTGGTATTTACAACAAATTGATCGCAACCAGTTATAGATTCCTTTGTTCCTTCTCCACTCCCACTGCTTCACTTGACCAGGAAAAAAAAAAGATCTTTGAAGCCTAATATGTCCAAAGGTAATCAAAATCTTAAATTTTAAGAATTAATGATACATATAAAAACAAAAATAAGCAATAAAATATAAAAATATAATTTATGAAAGGATTAGTTATTAGTCTAACGAAACTTTGAAAAACAGGACTAGTATTAAGTCCAGTCTAAGAGTGGAACTGTAAAAAAAACGCCCATTAAAAAAAAATCAAACTAGAAATTTTCCACCAAATTAAGAAAAATTGTAACTGCAGTGAGGTGAGCATTCGGCAGCCTGTGGTAACTGCATGAGGTGGTGAAATGACATGGCAGGGGAAATTCCAAAAGCAGTGACAGGGATTTAGCTTTTTTATCCTCTGAAGGTTTGAGGAGGTATTTTTTATTCACCATTAAAGAGCTTTCTGGGGGCTGGGCGTGGTGGCTCACGCCTGTAATCCTAGCATTCTGGGAGGCCAAGGCGGGAGGATCGCTCAAGGTCAGGAGTTCAAAACCAGCCTGAGCAAGAGCCAGACTCCGTCTCTACTAAAAATAAAAAGAAATTAATTTGCCACCTAAAAATATAGATACAAAAAAAATTAGCCGGGCATGGTGACATATGCCTGTAGTCCCAGCTACTCGGGAGGCTGAGGGAGAAGGATTGCTTGAGCCCAGGAGTTTGAGGTTGCTGTGAGTTAGGCTGACGCCACGGCACTCTAGCCCGGGCAACA